AGGCCTCCTTGGCATCGATTGCCAGGCGGATGTCGTCTTCCAAGACGATGAGGGCAGGAGCGTCTTGGAGCTGCGCCAAAGCACGCTCGTGGCTCATCAGACAGCCCAAGGTCCCCCAATGCGTGCCCCAATCCCACCAGCCCTCTGGGCGTAGGTGGTCTAGAACAGATCCTCTTCCACCCCTCCCTCTTCCCCCTTGGGGAGGGGTTTACCCCTCCCCCTACCCCCTCCCCTGGACCTGGACGGGGGGGGCCGCTGGTAGTTAGAGCGTCCCAGATGGCCCAAGACGGCTCCAAGAGCGCCTCAGAGAACCCAAGATGAGCTCCAAGATGGCTCAAGATAGCGCAAGATCGCTCGAGATGGCTCCTAAGATGGTTCCAAGAAGCCCAAAGACGGCCCCAAGATAACTCCAAGTGGCCAAACAGCTCCCCAAGGAGGCCCCGAAGAGGCCAAAATCGTCCCAAAACCTAAGGAAAATCAATGATTTTTGCTTTCTCGCCTTTTCGCTTCCGATGGCCATCCGAGGCCTGGAGATGGCTCCAAGATGGCCCAAGAGGGCCCCAAGAGAGCCCCAAAAGAGCCCCAAGACGGCCCCAAGAGCGCCCAAGAGCACTCCAAGAGCGTTCCAAGAGGGGTCCAAGAGGCGATTTTAGGGGCTTCCGAGGGGGGGCGCTAATTCACCCCCCCCTCTTGTTTGATCGATCTCCTCCAAGATGGCCCCAAGAAGCGCCCAGGAAGCCCCAAGAGGTCCCAAGATGGCCCCAAAATGGCCCCAAGAGGCCCCCAAGAGGCCCCCCGGAGGCCCCCAAGAGACCCCCAAGAGGCCCCAAGAGCCCCCCCAGATGCACCCAAGATGCTCCAAGAGGCCTCGGCGAGAATGCCTAATCATTGATTCTACACAGGTTTTAGCCACATGGAGGCCTCTTGGGGGGGGGCACGGATTAAGATGACTCCAAGAGCGTCTGGGAGAGCCCAAAATGACCTCCAAGATGGCTCAAGATATCCCAAGATGTCTCATAATGGCTTCCTCTGTGTGCTGCCCACTTCTCTGATCGAGGCAATTCCTCTGGGCATCGTTTCTGGATGGGCTGGTGGGGATTCGCGAAGCGACAACAATTCGACTTGGCATTTCGCACATACCGAATACGGCGCGTCTTGTGTGCGGCGTCGAACCAGGAGCAAAGCACCCGGCCGCCCGGCCCGCCCTGGCAACGCTTAGCATACCCACTCCGTGCCTTGAGGGAATCCCCATCGGTTCCCGCCAACCACGTCGGCTCGATGCCCAGACCGGCTGCCACCTGGAAGGCAACGTCGCGCTTGTCTTCTCGACGCCGTAGGCTAATCGAGCAAGAGGGCAGCGCTCGGAAGGTCGCGGATGCCATGGGACCAGATGGCTGGCAGAAGGCAGTGCGATCGAAAGGAAACGCTTGAGCCAAGGTCCCTGTGAAGAAAACGTGGTTGGGCTGGGAATGGCGCGACGACATAAAGGTGTAGGCGGAGGGCATAATGGAAAACCCACAAAGGACTCAAAGCGAATGCTATGGATCGCAATGGAATGCAATGCATCGCAAAGCGAAGTCAAGAAGGCAGAACAATGCAAGGCAGAGCGATGGAAACTTGGAAGGAGCTGCGCTGCATTGCACAACAATGGAATGCATGACAACGCAAGGCATGACAACGCATGCCACACCTGAAAGACACAGAGTGCAAGGCCACAAAGGCCGGAGAAAGATCCCCTGGAACCCATTTCCGGGATTACAGCTGCCGCCGAGTCTCCTGCACAGGAGACGGGAGGGGAGGAGCAAGGAGGAAGGAGGAGGGAAGGAAGGAGGAGCAGGGAGGAGGGAGGAAGAGGACGTCGTCGTCGTCGACGTCGTCGTCGTGATGGTCTCTGTGGCCGCAGTCGTCGCCGTCGGAATCGTACTCCGCCGTCGCTGCCATCATCACCGTCGACATTGCCATGGCCATTCCGAGCCTGAGAGCCACCGCGCGAAAATGCACGTCAATATCCAATTGCATGCCTGTACGGCGTGGGCGTCTGAGCATGCTCCTGTGGCCCATGTGAAAGGATGGAGGAAGTGCTGTAGGGCCGCCCGCCCTGGGCCCAAGGACACCTTCAAAACCGCCCACGCGCACGAACTGGGCGGCCACAGAGCCCGTAAGACAGCCACGGCTCCCGTTCTTCATTTTCTCCCGCTCCTCCTCGTCCTCCTCCATCCTCTCCCCTTTAAAAGAAATCCTCCCTGGCGCACCACGGAACGTGTGTGTAGGGGGGGCGGGAGGCAGGCGTTTCGCCAGAGACTCCCTTGCCATGTACGATCGCCATGTATGATCCTGAAGTGTACTATTGTGCAACATTTACACGATGGAGGGCGGTTTGTGTTCACAATGCGGCTCTCGCCTTAGCGCCGCGTGCAATCGTCTTGAAGTCTGTTACGCGGGTGGAGGGAGGTTCCTTTCCAAAATGGGGCTCTCGCCTGATGGCCGCGGACAATCGTCGTGAACGTCTGTCGCAGTGCAGGGATGGAGGGAGGTTACTTTTCAACATGGGGCTCTCGCGTGCTCGCCGCGGACATTGAGGCACCAGACGCCGGGGAGGCGCCGGAGCCGCCGGGTGAGCGCCGGTGGCGCGCCGGCCGAGAGCCGGGACAGCGCCAGACCGCCGAGGAAACGCCGACCGGGAAAGCGCCGGAGGCGGGAGGGCGCCGGCCGGAAGAACCCGAGGCCGCGGAAGTCGGGGGGACCAGCGGGATCGCACCTGGCAGGAGGTGGGTCTGAGATCAGCCAGTAGCGAAATCAACCGACTCGGAGTTCAGGCAAGTCCGAAATGAGCCGGGTCCGAGTGCAGCCAGAGAGGACGGGCGCGCCGGGAGCGCCCAGGCGAGACCAGGTCCGAGGTCAGCCGGGTCCGAGACGGCGGGATGGCGGTCAGACGGCGGCGGCCAGGGGAGCGCCGGCGTGGAGCCGGGCCAGGAGCACCCCCAGCCAGAGGCGGGGGGGAGCGCCGGGCGGGAGAACCCCAGCCGGAAGCTGGGAGGAGCGCCGGAAGCAGGCCGAGTCCGAGATCAGCCAGGTCCGAGATCAGCCGGGTCCGAGTTCAGCCAGGTCCGAGATCAGCCGGGTCCGAGATCAGCCGGGTCCGAGAGACGCCGAGGAGACGCTGGCCGGGGGAGCGCCGGCCCGTGGAGCCGGGCCGGGAGCACCCCGGCCAGAGGCCGGGAGGAACGGCGGGGGCGGGAGAACCCCAGCCAGAAGCCGGGAGGAGCGCCGGAGGCAGGCCGGGTCCGAGATCAGCCGGGTCCGAGATTAGCCGGGTCCGAGTTCAGCCGGGTCCGAGTTCAGCCGGGTCGGAGACGCCGGGGGAGCGCCGGCCGGGGGAGCGCCGGCCAGGAGCCGGGCCTGGAGCACCCCCAGCCAGAGGCCGGGAGGAGCGCCGGGCGGGGGAACCCCAGCCGGAAGCCGGGAGGAGCGCCGGAGGCAGGCCGAGTCCGAGATCAGCCGGGTCCGAGATCAGCCGGGTCCGAGTTCAGCCGGGTCCGAGATCAGCCGGGTCCGAGATCAGCCGGGTCCGAGATCAGCCGGGTGGGAGACGCCGGGGAGACGCCGGCCGGGGGAGCGCCGGCCTCGAGCCGGGCCGGGAGCACCCCGGCCAGAAGCCGGGAGGAGCGCCGGGCGGGAGAACCCCAGCCAGAAGCCGGGAGGAACGCCGGAAACAGACCGGGTCCGAGATCAGCCGGGTCCGAGATCAGCCGGGTCCGAGTTCAGCCGGGTCCGAGATCAGCCGGGTCCGAGATCAGCCGGGTCCGAGATCAGCCCGGTCCGAGACGGCGGGATGGCGGGGAGACGCCGGCGGCCAGGGGAGCGCCGGCGTGGAGCCAGGCGGGGAGCACCCCCAGCCAGAGGCCGGGGGGAGCGCCGGGCGGGAGAACCCCAGCCGGAAGCTGGGAGGAGCGCCGGAGGCAGGCCGGGTCCGAGATCAGCCGGGTCCGAGATCAGCCGGGACCGAGATCAGCCGGGTCCGAGATCAGCCGGGTCCGAGATCAGCCGGGTCCGAGTTCTGCCGGGTCGGAGACGCCGAGGAGACGCCGGCCGGGGGAGCGCCGGCCTGTGGAGCCGGGCCGGGAGCACCCTGGCCAGAGGCCCCAGAGGCCGGGAAGAGCGGCGGGCGGGAGAACCCCAGGCAGAAGCCAGGAGGAGCGCCGGAGGCAGGCCGGGTCCGAGATCAGCCGGGTCCGAGATCAGCCGGGTCCGAGTTCAGCCGGGTCCGAGATCAGCCGGGTCCGAGTTCAGCCGGGTCCGAGTTCAGCCGGGTCGGAGACGCCGGGGAGACGCCGGCCGGGGGAGCGCCGGCCAGTGGAGCCGGGCCAGGAGCACCCCGGCCAGAGGCCGGGCCGGGAGCACCCCGGCCAGAGGCCGAGAGGAGCGCCGGGCGGGAGAACCCCAGCCGGAAGCCGGGAGGAGCGCCGGAGGCAGGCCGGGTCCGAGATCAGCCGGGTCCGAGATCAGCCGGGTCCGAGTTCAGCCGGGTCCGAGATCAGCCGGGTCCGAGATCAGCCGGGTCCGAGATCAGCCGGGTCCGAGTTCAGCCGGGTCCGAGTTCAGCGGGTCCGAGTTCAGCCGGGTCCGAGATCAGCCGGGCCCGAGTTCAGCTGGGTCCGAGTTCAGCCGGGTCCGAGTTCAGCTTCTTCCCCCAGGAGGCCCAGAGGCCCGCCTGCTCGGACCGCCCCATCTGGGAGGACCCCCTTCCCCCTCCAACTTACGGTGGTGGTGGTGGTGGTGGAAAACAGGCCCATCACCTGACCCTCCCGAGAGGAATGAAGGGGCCCTGGGACACACAAATGAATAGACACGAATAACAGGATCCCCTATATTTTCCCATATTTCTGCCGCATTTTCCTACATGTTCCTGGGAGTCGACGATTACTTGTGTCTGTGTTTTTTTCTCTCCTGACGGAAGGAGGTCGCGCGGAGCAGCCCGGGCGGCGGTGCGCCCGCCCAGCCTCGTAGTCCTTGCGGCGGGGCCTGCCCCCTCGGGCTCCACTCTCCGCGGCGGCCTGGCGGCGGAGGGGCGGGGGGGCCTCCGGGCACCGGACGCGCTGGACGCTGCTGCAACGGGAAGGGGACGTCGACCGCTTGCCATCGTTCGGACGTCCATTCCCCGTGCATGTTTCCGTTGCGTGCGTGTGTTGCTTCTTCGGCTCGATGATCAAGGATGATCCTCGATGGTCCTTGCCGGGATAAACATGCACACGTCCGAGCCTGGGTAGTCGAAGCCAATCTGGCGCCATCTGGCAGGCCCAATCTGGCAAACGGGGGCAATCTGGCGAGGGAGCCAACGCGAATCCACTCTGGCGAATAACCCAAATCATCTAGTTTGGCCGGGCCAGATTGGCCCTTGGGGCCCAATCCAATCTGACAGTCTGGCCTTCGACTACCCAGCGAGCGATGCCAAGACGGACCGGGGGGGGGGCCAAGACTCGTTCGTGTACCTGTCGCCCACCACTCGGGCCCTAGGGTGGCGCCCCTGGCACCCGGGGGGGGCTCGAAAGGTGGAACCTTCCTCACGCCCCCATCGCATCCCCCCTTTAAAACGCCCGGACCATATTCGGCCCAGGGGTGGCCAGAGCTGCTCCTGGCCCTGACGGGCGTCCCCCAGCTTATCGTTGATGCGCCACGGTGGGGCAGCATATGGGGCCCTCGTGGCCTCGTGAAGAGTGAACAGGAACCCTTTTAGCACAGCTTCTTCCAGTGAGCACAACCCAGAACCCCGGCCTCGCGGCCTTCACCAGGCGGGGGGCTGCCAAAACTGCTCTTGGCCCTGCTGGTAACTATCCTCAACGCTCTGCTGCGCCATCCTGCTGCCCCCCGGTCATCGGGGCCACGTGAGGCGCGCGCCCAATCCGTTCAAAATCAATCCTCGGACCCCTCGATGGATGGGTTCATCATCTCCCGATTTCCGAGGCGGATCCAGCCGTGACGACGAGAAACCTCCAGGAGGCCGAAGGAGGACGAAGAGCGCCAGGGAAGACCGCCGCCGTCTCGACGAGCCCGCCTCCGTGGTGAGCCTCTCCGGAGATGGGTGGCACCTTGGCCAAGGACACATCTGGCAACATCAGGCCGGTCTCGGGCCCACACTCAGCGGCGGCGACAAGGCCGCGAGGAAGGTGCTTGCCGTCGCCGTCGTCGTTCCAGTGCCAGCCGCGGACATGGCGAACCCGCTGGCCCTCAGGGGGCTGCCCTGAGCTTTGTCCGTGTCCACACGCAGCTAAACGCAAGGAGGGCACCGAGCAGCAGGAGGAGGAGCCGAGTGAGGGGCCAAAAACCAGCGCAGCTGCAGGGGCGGCCTGGCGGGAGGAAGGGAGGGCGGGGGAGGGGGCGGGGGACAGGAGAAAAGGGCGACTTGGCGGTCGAAGGGGCCGTGGTGATTGTGGTGGTCATGCTGGTGGTCGAGCTGGTATGGTGGGCGCGTTGGCGGTCGTGGTAGTCGTGGTGGTCGTGATGGTAGTGCTGGCGAGCGCGCGGGAATCGTCAATGTGATAAGTGAAAACGTTGTCGGGGGAGCCGTGCTAGTCGCGGTGGTAGTCGGAGGCGGTGGATGTCATAGTCGTGATGGTGGTCATGCTGGTGGGTGTGGTGGTTATGCTGCTGGCGTTGCTTGGAGGGACTGTAGTGTTAGTCGAACGGGTGATTGCCGTGCTCGCTGCGGCCGTTGTAGACGCCAGGTCACTGGCCCAGTGCGCTGAAGAGCATCTCGGCGCTCCCCGTGTGGAGCTTCACGGAGATCTCCCGCCACAGTCTGCTCAGAAGTTCTGAGCGCTCCTCATCCACGAGGCCGCCGCCATAGCTTCGAATGAAAGCGGCGGTTTCCTCGGAGGGCCGCCCCCGGCCTCGAAGACCATGGGGGCGAGCTCCAGGCCAGGCCCTGGTGGGTACCGCGCCCTCTTGTGATCAACCATTTGCGCCGCCGCGAGGCCACTCCCGCGGGAACGAGCCTGCCAGCGCGGGGCATAGGTTGTGTGTGCGCAGGTGACGGCCCAGTCCACGTGGATGTGGCGCCTGGTGTTCTGGTCGATAGTGACGACGTCAAGGGCTGCCTCTTGCAGGCGCCCGTCGGCGAGGCGGCGGTCCCAAGCGGCCACCCGCTGCTCGGTCGGGGCTGCGTGTCCGGCGAGCTCAGAGTGGCGCTTGGCGTGCCAGTCCCCGAGGCGACTATGCCGGTGCATCCTGGGCCCCCCGACATCGCAGACCCTCGCGTGCCAGCCTTCTCCTGTGCTCTTGCGCGCGTGCTGGCATCGGGCCCCGTCGGGGCAGACGGGCGCGTCGAGCCTCATTTTCAGGTTGGCGACGAAATGCTTGTCTTCCTGAGCCGTGTCGCCTCACCGCCGAGGCAGCAGGACAGAGCCCGCTCGGGTGCCTCCGCCGGACAGCAGCGAGAGGCGGCCGTCTTCGTCCAGCAGGGTGTTCAAGAGCAATGTTTTGTTGGCCTCGGAGGCGGCTTTGCCCCAGTGCCCCTGCCGCTTGTGGTGCGGCTCCCGCAAGTAGTCTAGCAAGCGCAGCGGCTCGTCCCTCAGGGCCCCAGCCGCCTGGAGCGCCCGTTCTGCCTGGGCTAGCGCTTGGAGGGTGCGCGGGCAGCGAGCGCTGAACTCCTCCAGACTGCTGACTCCCATGCAGGTCGCCACGTCGTGTAGGCAGAGAACCCAGTTTGCGGCGAAAGCGGCGGAAGCGCTCTGGCCCGCGGAGGGGAAAGCGCAGCCCCCGCTCGGGAGGCGCAGCGTAGCCCGCAAGCGCTGCGCGGCCCCCAAGAGCTCGCCCAACAGAGTTTCCAGCGCAGCGAACAGGACGTTGCCGAGCTCCTCGACCCACCGGGTCTGCAGGTTCGCCCCGAAGTGATGCGTAACGCATCCGTGTCCGTAGGTTGCAGAGGAGGGTGTAGGCGGCTTCGGCAGAGAGGCCGGCGGCCCGCAGCTCCCGGAGGCAGGCGGTGAAGGCCTGGGCGCGGCTTACTGCGGCGGCCACGTCGGCTCCGGCGTGCACCAGGACCGTCCCCCTGTTGGTCTATCCAGGGCGCGGCGTTCCCAAGACACTCCAAGGTCTGTACCCGGAGAGCGCCGATGCCTGGCTTGTGTCTTGTCGAGGTTGACGGTGAGGCCGAGGCGCGCAAACTCTGCGGGAACCAGCTGGGCAGCCGCAGCGGCGTGCCTTGGCGGGGCGAAGACCATGATGTCGTCCAAGTAGGAGAACACCCGGCACTCCAGTAAAAGCTGCTGAAGTCTGCCGTTGATTTCGCCCAAGGCCCCCGCCACGGTGATCGCGAAGGAGGCCGGCGAGAGCGGGCATCCCTGGTCGACCCCGCTAGTCGCCCGAAGGGGCTCCGTCTCATTGTTGTTGTCCCAGAACAAATGCGTGGTCTGCCCCCCCCGGGCCAGCAACGCGCAAACCTGAGCAGAGCAGGCGCCTGGGCCCGCAGGCCGTTGGGGATCTGCTCTCTGGGTAGGCTGTTTTAAAAATTGCTGCTGTCAAGCGCGAGGACCACGTTCCGGGGGTAGGACTCCGGCAGCGCCGAAATACATCTGTGCATCACATCACAACCCCCTGCTTTCCCAACCGCAAACTGGTGCGGCCCGCACCCGTTTTTGATGTCTTTTTGGAAGACTTCGCAGGCGGCCTTCGTGGCTAGACGACGCAGCAGACTTCCACAGGCAAATTGGCCTGACCCTTCCGGTCCGCTTGCGGAGAGCCACGAGACGCGTGCTGGGGATAGAAAGCCTCAGAGGAAGAGGACCGTCGCTTTGGCGACCGAATCCGGCACCGTCGAATCCTTCAGAAGGGTGCGCCAATGCTCGAGCCGCCCCCCACTCGGCCCAGGGCCGGACCGCCGTGGACTCCTACCGCAGGTTTGCGTCGTGTCGACCCAGGCGATGGTTTTTGACACCGCGGGACGTTCAACCTTGAGCGATCGGACGCTTCCGAAACGCCACATCGTTGAACATCGATCGATTCTGGGTCGCCGTCGGCGTTCAACGTTGAACTCCAGCGGCGGGGTCGCCGCTGGTCGACACGACACGAACCTACCGTAGCAAGGTGGCGCTTCACAGCCGCAACCAAATCGTCGTCGTCGTCGTCGTCGTCGTCTTCGTCGTCGCCGCCGTCCGCGTCGTCCAACGTCGTCGTGGCCGACGCTGGGGCGGAGACGGACGCCAAGAGGACGCCAGTCTGTGCACCCGAGTGCCTGCACCAGCCCTGTTTCGGCGGCGCGCCCAGGGAGGGAGGCAGAGGGGGCGGCTCTGCTTAGAAGGCCAAAGAAGCAGTTGGTCTTCTGAGAAGCTATCTAAGCCTTTCTCCGAAGACACACACGCACGGTTTCTCAGAAGGAACGATGGTTTCTCAAAGGCACACCGCCTTACGAGCAGGCCTGCCGCCTCTTGAGGGGCACGGTGAATGACGATGATGATGATGATGATGAGCAGGGGAGGGAGAATCGTCTGATTGATCATCGTCCCCATCATCACCAGCACAATCATCACCATCATTATTAGCATCATCATCACACCACCATCACCATCACCCATCATCACCATCATCAATTCCATCTTCATCTACAATGGACAAAACCCAATCGACTCACGATTAAAAAATGCTACCGGCAGCCAACTGGCATGAAGCAACTGTGTGAACGGCCAGTCGAGCGAGAGGAAGGGCAATAGCGCCAGCGCGGATCTTGTTACACGTGTTGGGTACGATAAGGATGATGATGAGGAGGAGGAGGAGAAGGAATAGGAGGAGGAGGAGGCGTGCAGTGGCACGTGATAGTGTCCCTCTCCCGTGATGACAGCGGCGGCAGCCGATGATGCAGTGTAGAGCTTTTCCGTACAATGTCAAATACAGTGCTCTAGCTATGACGCGTCTTGAGCCACAATGCCGGTACGGCGTGGCTCACGTGCAACATGCGTGCGGGGCCTTAAGGATTGACAGGAGGCCCCGAGAGATACATGTAACAACTTACTCTCGTGATGGCTTAAAACTGTATGAAATACAAGCTCTGTGAAACGCATTG